CTACTATAGATTGAGGAAAAAAATTTTTAAAAGCACAAATATAAAGCTCTATATTAAAAATACTTTAATGGCTATTACATTATAAACCATCTTTTTTTTTTTACTCATACAACAAACAAAGGGTATATATACGATTTTTGGATGATGCAATTAGTGGTGATGTGTTCGTGCTACATTTAGAGTTTTTTTGAGAAAATTACAAACCGAGCCAAGAACATTGCTTCCTCGTATGCTTATGTACTAACTTAGCTACCATCTTCACTGTCACACCTTTCATCTTTATCCACGAAATTTTTTTATTTTTATTTGCTGTTGTTTATTATTTGGATTTTAGTTTGACAAAAAATAAAACAAATTTTTTTTGCTGTTATTTATTATTTGGGTTTTGTTAGAGATGAGATTCGTACCGTCTCTAACAAGCCCGATATGAATTCTAGTCGGCTCATCTAACAAGTTCCAGGTTGGCAACATAAAAGGAAAGCTTCCATTTATCAAGCGACCCGGCGAAAAAGGAAACTCCTTACGTTACCGACAAGAGTTTCCTATTCCGAACAGGTTGAAGACCGACCTGATCGGCTATAAATATAGGAAGTCCTCGACTTCTCAATCCATCAAAAAATAATCAATCGACCTAGAGCAAAACTTAGCGACCAGACTGTTCTAGTTCTCAATTTACTTCCTTAAACAGTTTTAGGTCGGCGTTCTTCTTCCGACGACCTAAAACACTGTTGTATTCAACCAAGCTCCGGCTTCTTCTAATAAAAGATCTCTTCAAAACCCTCAAACCCTAGTTCTTCTATAAGTCGGACTTGAGTTTTTACAGGTTTGATAAAAAAGTAAAATAAAGATATAGGGCTTGATTGGTTGTTGCTGTAGATGCTGTACAAAGCAATATTTATGTTTAAAGCTCTAAATCATATCAATCATGCTTTATAAACTATGTCTTTCCTTTATTTGCTCACAGCCAAAATATTTCCTTTTTTATTTTTTTGCCGTACAAAACATTATTTTCTAAAGTACATAAATTTATGCTTTCCAAATTTTACAATTCTACAGCCAAAATATTAAAGAAATAAAATCTACAGCTACAACAAAAAAATCTACAACCACATTTCTACAGCAAAAACATAAAGCTACAGCTGTTACCAATCAAGCCCATAATTTTTTATTTGATATAGTTTATTATTTGGGCTTGGGTTTGGCAAAATAATAAAACAAAGATTAACAGAAATTTTTTTTGGGTTTTTAATGAGTTTAAATTAAAAAATAGTAAAAATTAATAGATGATGTGTATTAATTAAAATGTTTTGATTGGTTGTTGATTTTGTTGATGTGTTAGTTTTTGTAACTTGAAAAAGTTGAGTTGTCAAGCTATGGAGAGACTTTAGTGTTATTGTTGTGTTGATTTGAGGATAAGAGATTTCGCGAGAGAAAGGAGGAGACGAAATGATTAATTCTATGTTATATACATATATTTATTTTTTTGGACTTTGGAGAATAGCACATGGTAAGTTTTTTTATAAAAAAATTCTTTTTCTTGGTTTATCTGACGTGGCAGCGTGTAAATTTTTTTTCTAAAAGCTTTAGAAACTGATGCCAGGTGGCATTGTGAGAGAAACTTTTTTTTGCTGACATGTACACTTTGTGGTGCCCCAAATAGTCTCTTTTATTTAGTATAGATAATAAAAACAATTATGAAGAGGGTCAAAACTTTAAGACCAGGGTCTAAAATAAGATTTTTTTTTTTAGTTAAGAACAGATGCATGTCAAGATATGAGTGGATAAAGTTTCTAACACCTAAAATAAGATCTTTTAATTCTAATTTCTGAATTGCATTTCTATAATTTACTAGATATAGACCCTTGCGTTGCACAAGTTTTTAATTTAAATGATTAATTTAAGTTAAGATTATAATTTTTTATTTATTCTGTAAAATTAAGTAATTCTTTTTTTATTTTGTTTTTGTAAAATTAGTAGTTATTTCTATTGAACACCATAAATTAATTGACTCTAAACACTAATAGACTAATATATGTTTAATAAATTAAATTTAGATACGCACAGGTCCATAATTTAAATTATGTAAAAAGATAATGTAAACATGTAATGCACTGTAATAATATATATCTGTTTTTGTTTTTCTTTTACAATTAGAAGTTTATCTTATTTTTAATATGTTTTTGTTTTTCTTTTAGAATTAGAAATTTATCTTATTTTTAATCGAAATATATCTTATTTTTAATTGAAATACACTTGTTTTGGTTTTTCTTAATTAAATATATCTTTCTAATTTTTTTAATACTATTTTAAATAACATGTGTAAAAATCTGATCGATTTAAATCGTCATGTGTCGCGATCTTGTAAATTACTAACTTTGACGCATCCAACTTTATATAATAAGATATATTTCCATGTATTACATTTTAAAAAAATATATTATGTTTTAAAAGTTGTTAACATAATTTTTTAATTAAATTTATTAAAAAAAAAATTTTTGTTTTGTTTTTAAGACATCCATCAAAAGTGTCTCCATTGTATGCTTAAAAACAACAAAATACTATAAAGTGTCTTATATACATAAAGTACACAAAATATTAATAATTAATCAATAAGACCCACATTAGTGGTGTCTCCATTGGGTTTGCTCTAAGCGCATTGTAATTTTGTTTCTAAAGATAAGTTGGAACGATGGAATGTTAAAAGTTTTTTTGGTTTAAGAATCTGATCCCCGGAGACTTTTAAAAAATAAAATGAGTTTTAAAAATTTTAGTTTGTTAATGTGTCAGAAAGAGGGGTGGTGAGGTGTCAGATTCTTGTTGAGTCTTTATATATAAATTAATCATATAATATAAGTAGATGAGAGAGATTTACTCATTAAGGCACTTTCGAGTTTTTGTTTACCAAATAAGGCACTTAGCGATACGAAGGCACTTTGAGCACTGTTCATAATATGTTAATCCGATTTTGTCCTTTCTCTTTTCTTATAGTTGTCCATATACGTGCATCCATGTGGTCGAAATATTTTAGCCATTTGTTATAGTATATAAGTTTTACAGAGTTCATCTACAAAAGATATGCAAAATGGATATAAATATCACATTTAGCTGTCCACGAAGGTTCATCCACGAAAAACATGCAATATGGATAGACAAATTCAAACAATACATGTTTGGCTGTCCATGAAGGATCATCCATGTGAACATGAGCTTCATTGATCTCAAACTAGTCTAGTAAACTTATGAAGTTGTCCACATATGTTCATCCACGTGGTCGAAATATTTTAGTCAATTGTTATAATATACAAGTTTCACAGAGTTTATTCACAAAAGATGTACAAAATAGATATACAAAATTATATTTAGTTGTCTGTGAAGGTTCATCAACGAAAGATATGCAAAATAGATAGAAAAATTTAAACAATACATGTTTGGTTGTCCATGAAGGGTCATCCACGTGTGCATGAGCTTCATTGATCTCAAACCAGTCCACTAAACGTTTGAAGTCATCCACGAAAATTGATGATGATGTGTTATGGTTATTCACAAGAGTTCATCCACGTAGTCTGACGGTTCTGGACATTTAATCTTGTATGAAAAGGATAAAATAGTTATTTGGCATGTTAAATGTGTTTTTTCTCTTCTAAATATTTTAATTTGTTATTTAAATTTTTAAAAGTGATGTAATTTTCTCAAAAAAAAAATCACTTAAAAATTAGGAGAACCGGACAGAGCCGGGCACGCAAACCAATTTAAATCAAACTCGCGTTTCTATATTTCTTCTTCTTCTTCTTCTTCTTCGCGTGCCAAATCGAAAACCTGCCAAAATCTCGTCTCCATGGATGCAAAACCTTCCGAGAAAATCGCAAATCCTAAAAGCAGAGATTTTCTAAACCATCTCGAAACATACCTCGCGAAAAGAGATGGCGTTGACAAGCTCCTGAAGATCTCTCGTTACACAACCAAGATCATCCTCGCGTCTTCCCTGACCTCAGAATCCGGATCCCTGAATCACCGCCTCAAGAGCTTCGAATCCAGCGTCGGAGTCAGTCGCAAAGCCTTCCGTCTCGGAAAATTCGTTCAGGACATCAACGCGCTTAGAGCCTCGCGATGGGATTCGAACCGCGACCTCCTTTTGCTGGTGATCGCGTACGGCGGCGAAGGATTGTACTATTTCGTCGAGCAATTCATCTGGTTAGCGAAATCGGGGTTGATCGATGGGAAACACTCGAAATGGCTGCAGAAGATCAGTGCCTGGGCAGAATTGATCGGCTATGTAGGGAGCGTTTCGTTGAAAATTAAGGATTTGAGGAAGATGAAGGAAGACGAGACTTGTGCTGCTTCGACGATTGAGATCTCTGTTTCGCGAGGGATATCTTGCGAAGGAGAAGAGGAGAAGATGAAGAAGCTGAGAGAGAAGAAAACATTGAAGGTGTTGTCGATTCTTCAAGATCTTGCTGATGGATTAATGACGATCGCAGATCTTAGGGATGGTAAGGGAGTGTTATCGGCACCAAACGTGATTTCTTCTGCAGGTTTGTTTTCAGCCATTATCAGTACTCATAAGAACTGGGTCTCTTGCTGATGATGATCATCATCATAATCATTCGTTTACATCATCTACACTAGAATAAAGGTTTCATTTTTTTAGTGTCTGGTCATTAGAACACTGATGTTTTGATTCAATCATACTCTCGAATATTTTTAATCGAAATGGTTCAGAAAGCAAAACAGATATGGGTTTCAACTAAAGACAGCTACTTTAGATATAAACAGAGTTTAGGCAATACATGATTTGATCAGAAAAGATTGACATGAATCCAAATTTTGGGAGCAATACAAACAGAAACAAGAATGGCTTGTTAAAGCCTGTTAAAAAGAAAAACAGAGAAGAAACCTGTTTTCGAACTCTCTTACAACGACAGAAAGATAAACCGTGGTCGTGCTTGTTGCTGCTAAGAGAAACGAGTGAGAGACGACAATCGATTTATGTCGGAATATGTCTACCTTTCTTTCAAGGAACTGCTATTAGATTTTGATCTTTTAAGTTGCCATGGAGGTAAGCAGCCTCTGAGAGGTGATTGTATCAACAAAGACGATGTCGAAAGCTGTTTTTGTCTCATGGAGATGGAAGACAAACAGCTAAACGAGCTTCTAAGACTTCTCTTTTCGTTCTCTTCCTCTGGTATTTGCCCGTCGGGATCATGACAAACCGATGTAATCTTCAGCGACTCAGGGAGTATGCAGCTGCACACAGAACCTACACAGGAGAAGAAGCAAAACCTGTCTTTAGACTAAGTTTCTTGAAACAGTTTGTGCAAAATGCAGCAAACCTCTCTGTTTTACTTACCTATTTGCGCAAGCCGGTTCACCCATTTCGGGATCTTTTTCCCGGTAAGCTTGTAGCAAACGTCGTGGCAGAAATGGTTACAGTTCTTGACAATCAGGTGATACATGTTCCCATAGTAACTACAAGCCATGTCCTCCATGAACTCTCTCACTTGCGCCGGGTTTAGATTCGTGGTTCCAATGACTATCGATTTCTTGAATTTGAACCCCGGGCATTGCCTCGGCTCAACCTCGAATACGCCACTCGTTGCGTAATCATGTGCACCAAAAGCATACTCTACTCCATGAACTGTGAGGAATGTTAAGTGTAAGAGACAATGTTGGACTCTTAGACCATATCAACAAGAAAAACAAGAAGCTCCCTAAAGCTTTTACCTTCAACACCAGAGTGAAATATACCGAGGCCTGCCCAATAGATATATCCGTTGATAGGAGTCAAGTCATAAACGTTGAGATAGACTGGTGCACGGCCTGGACCATGGTTGTTTGACTTTAGTTTCGAAAAGAAGCAAAACCGAGCAACCGATTTGCTTTTCAGATGAAGAGGTGCAAGAGATTTCCAACGTTTCTTTGACACAAGTTTCATCTTTTCCCCAAACCCTGACCTTAACTCTAGCAGCGAGTCTGACCAACCTGCTCAAATTCAGAATTCAAATGAAGAACTGAGTCACATTGAGACAGAAAGTGGACCGAGAGAAGAAATGTAGGAAACATTTTTTGATCTTAGATGAAAGATTTTACCTTTCTTCTGCTTAGGCTCCTCTTCCTTTACCTTCAACATTGGATGGTGCCTCAGGAGAGGTTATCCTGTATGTAAGCATCAATCAATAAAACATTCTGAAGATGCACAAGCAAACATCTTTCTGCCACATTATGTTTTCATAAAAAATGAAGAGTCTGAAATGAAAGAAGAAAAAAAGTTTCTTTTTGTATTTGATGTATCTTTGATAGTTGGCTGAAACACAACAAACAGCTAATTCAAAAGTCAACACCAATCCCTTTAGGCCGGCTTCAATCAGTTTATACAAGAATTGAGTACAAATATAATAAAGCATGCATTTTTAAATAAACAAAGATTGGTCTCTCATTTCTTTCATCTTACTAATAAAAATAACCGAGTCATCTGATTCTGAATATCTGTTTTTATGATGCTACAAAGATTTGGTAGCCTAGAAACACTAAAGAAACTAACTCTCTATGTTACTTTATATATATACAGAGATCAAAAGAAAAATGTGGGCAAGGTTTAGTGTTTATAATATCAGGTTCTGTTCTTAAAGAGTTGCTACCATGTCAGGAGCAATCATGAAGACAAAAAGATGTAGGTGGGTGTGTATTAAATAATGGGAGAATAGACAGGAGAAGATGATACAGATAGATTAGTAAGAGTTTAGGAGACAAGTCAAACCTTTCAACAACTCGTTCCAACTAATTTGAGTCTGACAATAAAGCAAATGATTCCAATTAAGATGAACAGTTTATAATTATGAAAAATAAAACAACTTAAACAGCATCGCCTAAAATTTAGTCTTCATGAATCCAAAAACTTTCTAACTATGCCCAAGCAATTAAAATCAGTGCCTAAGATCTAGTAAATGTACAGACCAAATTTGAACTACATTTCATTCATTCCCAAAAATGGTAAATCTTGAAAATTGTAGCTTTAATTAGTGAAATGGAAGCAAATCAAAAGTGACCCAATTTGCACCGTCAATTTAAGAACACAATTATGGTCTTTTACTAGGGTTTAGTGTTTCAGATCTGCCCAAAAAAATTTAAGCTTTAGGGAATGCTAAAGAAAGACTAAGAAATAAACAAAACCTGGGTCGAGATCTTACAACTAATTCGGGTAATGAGAAATTCGAAGTGGGAATCTTCACATTAACCGGAAAATGTAAGATTTGGCACACCAAATTCAAACGAATTTAACAGAGAATGTTTTAAAACTTACGAAATTCGGATAGATTCGCCATTACGCGCAACGCCCCAAAGAAGTAAGACTCAGCATTAACTGTGTGAAAACCACCTGAGACTGAAAGTCTGAAACTTTACTTCTTCTTAAACCGGAGAGACTTTAAGTTTGAGTTTAATTTTGAGGAATCATAAGAAGATAGAGAGAAAAAGGGAAAAAGAACGAAAGTGTCTTCGCTCTCTCTCCCGTGTGACTTCTTTGTCTCTTCTTTTCTTTTCTTTGCATGTTTGTTTTCTATTTTATCCTCTTTACCAAAAAGACTTTGGATGGTTAAAATTGCGTTTCGGCATCAAAACGCTGTACTTGCATTTTGTGTAATCATATAAAAACTTTTTTACATACAAAAAAACTTAAACAGACGCATTAAAAAAATTAATGTAACGTAACATTTTTTCAAACCAAATATTTATATGTACTAAAGAGAAACATTAAGAACATAAGAAAAAATATTTAAACCCAAATCAAACATCTTACGGTTACTAAAAACGCTTTACCGCACAAAGTATTTCTTCAAGCTGTGCTTTTGAGATGACAAAGTTGCGATTCAATAGTTCTATTTACAACTTACTTTTTCAGTTTTCTCCAAATCTCGTTGACAATAATTTTTTCTAATAACAAATCACTATGTATAAATCATATAAAACGTTTTACATATAAAAACCTAATTGAAGACCACGAAAATCCAGATTGAAAATCACAAATTTAAAAATGATTTAAATCAATAATAAATGATAATTAAAGTATAAAAACGTTTTTAATAAAAACCACGATACACGGAGTCGAAATATAATCTCTTTCCTTAATTTTTTAAATCTTTCGCAGTGTGGCAGTTTGAAGAGATTCAGAATCCCATGATACAACTGTGTTGAGACTAAAGTCGTAGCACTCGACTATAGAATCTGCGAACTTAAGAATATACGCTATACTCTCGAGACTTTACCAAGACCCAAGCCCAAGCCCGGCTTGGCTCGGCTCGGCACGGCTCGCACGTGTGTGTAGTTTTGCATAACAGCCATTTTTCTCCTTTTCCATAGTGTCCTCTTCTAAAGGCTAGTGAACCTTGCTAAGAGTGTGTCACTATATATAATAGTGGAAAATTTTTCCAACTTTTGATGTGCGACAAATGCTCATATTGACATTTGTTGACTTTTTGTCTTGATTATATGCCCACTTTGACCAAAGATTTCTCATTCAAATCAACTTCGTTTTTGACAAGTGAATACATTATCTTATAGTACTCATTACAAGGAATCCAAATAATCTATAATCCGGTCATTTTGGTAACTGTGCTCACCGGAAATGTCGCCGGAAAACTGGCCTGAGCTATTTGTCAAAAAATAAGTTCTAACACCTAATACAGACATTAAAAGAATAATGTAAAGTAAATAGTAATACACATTCAAACAATTTCTTACGGTTATTAAAACGCTTTGTGGCAGTCAGTATCTCTTCAAATTGTGTTTTTGAGATGACGAAGTAGCGATTCAATAGTTCTTTTTATTTACTTTTTTTTCTACAAATCTCTTTGGCAATTTTTCTATTTTTTGTTTTTGTAAAACTATCAAGTCTCACATCTTTATTTACATATAATATTTTTGTTTCCATTTTTCTCTGAACTCGTTTTCAATTGTTTCCTACTTCCTACGTTTTTACATATCTTTGTATCTTCATATTAAAGTACTAATTATAAATTAAGAAATTGGGGCATATTAGAAATTAATCTTAGAGTTGATTGTTCTTTTGACCAAAAAAAAAAGAGTTGATTGTTCTTAATTTTAAATAGGGAAACTCTTTGGTAGGTGAAACAGTGGAAACAGATAAAATCAATCCCTAACTTAGAAATCCACCCAGGATTCGAAAGTCAGTGAGCACAGTGTAGAAGATGATCTGAAATGGAAGAGAGATCATCTCGAAGATACTGAATTCGTATGATGACGATGATAAACGATGATGATATAGAGAGAAAGAGATGGGTTGACTGTCATCAGCCCCCAAACTATACGTTATTTACCTAATCCTCTTCAAACTATAGATCTCTGTATATTCCCATCCAAACAATTTTTTATCTGCATATTCCCTCAAATTCAATTAAAAATTAAAATCACCAGTAATTTACGAAATTATGCGTTTTCAGGGGGGGGGGGGGGGGGGGGGGGGGGTAGGGGGGGGGGGGGGGGGGGGGAGGGGAATATGCAGAAATCAAATTGTTTGTGCGTAAATAAGCAGAATTGTAGTTTAGGAGGGAATATGCAGAATTTATTAAGTTCAGAAGGCTGAGCGCAGTCAATTTAATTCTTAGGTTTTTCAAAATGTTTAACACATGATAAGTATGCCTTATTTACTTGACATTAGACAGCTTAACTAATACAATTTTATCATTCTATTGGTTCGAGTATTTTGATTATAATCCCTGAAATAAACGAATGTGTTGTTAAATCATGCCACTAATAACTCATAACACAAATGGGTTAGAGACTTCAAACTTAGATGTCGTATGTACATCTTGTGCTTAAATTAACACATATGAGTAATGAGTGGTTAGACAGAGAATTGAAACCTCTTCTACGCCATTCATGGTTCGAGTAGTTTGATTTAAAATGCTAATAGTAGGATTGCAGAAACTATACTTCGGGATTTACTTGACATTACACAACTTATTTACTTGACATTATACGATTTAATTAATATAAATTTATTATCTTATTGTTCTAAGTATATTTGAAGTCCTAATAGGAGAGACTATATTTTGGAATTTACTTTAATATACACAATTTGTTCACTTTACACGATTTAATTAATATAAGTTTATCATCCTATTGGTCCGAATATATTAATATAAGTTTATAAATCCTGAAAAATATTTTTTCCCTACTAACACTTCAAATCAAAATACTCTAACCAATAGAAAGATAAACTTGTATTAGTTAAAATGTATAATGTCAAGTAAACAAGTCTTATAATATCAAGTATATCCCGAAAAAATAGTTTTTCTTATTAGTATTTCAAATCAAAATACTTGAAACAATAAAATAATATGTTTATGTATGTATAATAACCGATTTTAGTTTTTTTTTAAAAAATAATTTGTGTTGTCATATTGCTACTATTTTAATAGAGATATACGTTTCTTTTACTATACAAATATATATTATGGATATAATTAAACTAATCATGTGTTAAATAGTTTGAAAATCTTAAGAATTCAATTGACTGCGCTCAGCCCACTAAACTTAATAAATTCTACATATTCTCTCATAAACTACACTTCTGCTTATTCATATCCAAACAATTTGTTTTTTTGCATATTTCCCCCAAAACGCAATCTAACCAAAATGCAATTTCGTAAATTGATTGCGATTTTAATTTTTAATTGAATTTAGGGAATATGCCGATAAAAATTGTTTGGATAGAAATACGCAGAAATTTATAATTTGGGAGGGAATAGGTAGACAACGTATAGTTTAGGGGCTGACGGCAGCAACCCGGAAAAGATGAAGATGAATAATATTCTGATTGATTTTCCCCAGATGGTCGAGATGCATACAAATACTGTTATCGTACAATAACCGACTTACAACTAACAAACTGGTTTAATTATTTGACATGGACTAAACCGGTACTTAAACTAAACCAAAAAAGATAATATGATGATTAATACTGTCACAGTAGGAACATCTGCATCCCAAACATTTTGTTGGATTGAGTGGTAGATTTTAGCTCAAGGTTGTAAATTTGTAATCTCGTACTAGCAAATCTTTGTGACGTAGCTGTAACCAGGAGCTATAAACACTGTTCTTATAGCACGATCGTAGAAGATGATTGGTAATTACTTGTCAAAGGGGATCAAGCTATGATTGGTCCTGATTAGGGATGCAGTTAATTAATAATGTTGTAAATATATAGCAATCTCATTAATTAGCATAAAGGAGAAATATGGTCAAGACTTAGGGACATAGTGAATGTCATTCCATGAACCCAAGCACTTAACATGAGGACTCCACTTGTTGTTGACATGGGAGGCTTTGTAACGTTTCCATTCACGAAGAACAAGAGTTAGATCAAAGACCTTGGCAGTGATGTGGCGGCAGCAGTTAGCATGGACGGTGGTGACAACGTCCATGTCAGGGCTGTCTTGGCAGAAGCCACTGAAGTGGGTGGTGCTGAGGAAGCCAACGGTGAGGCCGAGTTGATCGAAGAAGCCCGAGTGCAGGAGGTTCTTGAGGACGTCTTGTTCCTTCATCCCCTTCGAGTTGAGCCTCATGTCGTACCATTTTTGGAAGAGGGAGATGGTCCTGTTGTTTGACCGGACGTGGTAGAATCCTGTGTTGATCAAGTGTCCAGCTCCCACGTCATTGTTGTCCACGCTTATTTGCATATCCAAGCTCCCATTGTTGAATAGCCGAGAGAAGGGGCTCCTTAGCCACATCACGTCCGTGTCCTGATACAATTTTAAAATGTAGTTTTGAAACCACAAACAAAATGTTTGCCACCCACTACAAGTAAAAGCTTACTTCCGACGGTTATATCTGTTGAAAATTCGTTTGATATGACAATTTTAAGCGAATTTCAGACAAATTAATATTCGTCAGAATAAATTCGTCCAAAATGTACCTATCATTAGTTTCAAGTTTTAACAGATTATATGGTTGGAAATTGCAGTTAGTTGGAAAATTTTGACAAATTTCGAACGATATTTTTATTTTAAATAGATCCACCATTGAAATTCATCAAAAACAGGGTATATGCGGGAATTAATTTATTTTTAAAAACTTGATGTTAAATTATTTTGGATAACCGGATATTCATCACAAATTGACAACAAGAAAAACTAACCGTGAAAATGAGATGGTAGCCACGGCCGAGGACGTCTAGGAGCAAGCGAGTCCTCCGCCACATCATCTCAATGAAATCAGCCGACATATATACTTTCTCCCCCTCTAGGTCAACCCCCTCCGTCTCCATCTTGTAGCAATGGAGCCTCCTAAAGCGGCAGCGATCATAGGCCGTCTGATCCGCTGCCACAACCATCAGATGGTCAAGAAGCGGCAAAGTCCCCTCTCCTTCCCAAAAACTCTCCAAGAACAGATCCAACATCGTCCTCCCTTCTTCAACCTCCTCCACATACGCTTTGTTCACCACCGTTATTATCACCGTCTTGTTGTTTCCCGCAGCCGCACTATCCAGCACCGCCTCTAGCTCGTCCATCGGAAACTCTATATCTCTCTGTCATCACTTCAATTTTAAGATATATCATCTCCTATAGTTACTCTAGACTCCAACATGTTATGTATTAACTTACAATTGGCTTAGGAGTGTTGGGATTGTGTTGGAGATCGGAGATAGGATTGGAAATCGAACGTGAGGATAAGCTGATGTATAGGGCGCCGGCAAAGAGGAGAGCAACGGCGACGGTGAGGTTGTAGGAGGAGTTATTGTAGAGAGGCATGTTTGTTTGGTTATCGGAGTAATAGGAGTAGGAGACTCACGTAGCTTATGTGCCTTTTTCTCTCACTTGATTCCCTTAAATTTGGACACAACAATTTACCTAATTATATCCAATTACAAAAAAAAAAAAACAATTAACATAATTTATATAGGGAATTTAATTAATTTAATGTACGTCAAATTTTTATTTGCCAGACTTTTTTTGGTCAACAGTATACACCAAATTTAGAACACTTCCAATACTTGTAGAATATCTAAACATTATAGTAGTAATATTATTAATATAATTTAGTATGAAAAACTTATTTGAATTTTGACTCCCAATGGTGAGATATTTATAGAATATCTAAACATTATAATAGTAATATTATAATGGTGAGATATTTACTGAATACCTAAACATTATAATAGTAATATTATTAACATAATTTAATATGAAAAACTTATTTGAATTTTGACCTCCATTGGTGAGATACTCCATAAATATCTCACTAATATAATATCAATATATTTTAATTTAGTTTTATATTTTAAATATAGTTTATTTTGAAAGTTTTATCTTAAATTAGAGAATTTTTATTAATATTTTTTAAATATATCAAATGACATATTAAATGTATTAATAATCTATAATAATCATATTAATACAGTACTTCATAACAACATTAATAATATATTACATTATAAATAATATAATTAAAGAGTAAAATTCTCTTAAATAACACAACTAAACATATACACAAAATAAATTTATAAAAATAAAATATAAAATGCTTGAAAGAATAATTAACACATAAACTCATGATCAAATATATAACTAACTTGGTTTTATACATCAAATCATATAACTTTAATTTCAATGTATCTTATTAATAATTATATGTGATTAGAGAAAAATGTCAAAAAAAGATTTTTTTTTTAGTTTATATTCTTTATGACCCCATTAATTTTGTTTAGTTGACCCCATAAATAAAAAGAGAAGAAGACAAAAGCATAATTAAATTAATGGGCTTGCAGTATTAAACATGAATCCAAACAACATCAACAGAAAATTCAGAAATGGAAAAAAAAATGAATGCATATTATGAGCTCCAAATCTAATGGGTTAAAACAATTAATGGGCTTGCAATAAAAACCCAAAATCCAAAACCCAGAGTCCTCCTCTCTCCTCTGTCTCCGACGATCGAACTTAACAAATCGGCGAGACCAAAAAAATGCCCGCCAAGTTAACCCTAAATTCGCACCGCCGTGTCGTCTCCGTATTTTCCCAGTAGATGATCACGTTCAGACTTGGAGCCTTGATCCGACGCACTGGTTTCCAGATATCTTCAAATCAATTCCTTGGCTTTTCAGAATCATATGCTTCTATTCCTAAATCACGTTTCTTTTCCAATGGCACCGACGGCGAAAGTGCGCTCTATCACCATGCGCGTTTGTTCCGGAAACCACTATCTACCGGTTTTAAATCCAACATTTCGAACTCCGTGAGCCTTATGGGTTTCGTTGATCGACCTATTCGAGTCATCGACACCGTTGAACCCGATAGGTTCGGTGTTTCTACTTTGCTTCGAGTGAAAGACCCGCGTGATCCGAATCGGAGCTTTAGGTCAGGTTTGTTCAAATTGCGTTTTCTTCTCAGTTTTGCTCATAGTATGTGTTAGTATGTGTTTAATCCACGAGTAGGGTTACATGGTGTTTGGGGATCACATGGTGTTTGGTTAGTAGAAGTTTGCTACTCTGAATTATGCGATGGTTACGATGGTTGATTTCCTGTCTTGTTCCTTTTCTGATTGCAATTAGTATAGCTCAAACATGATAAGAGTTCGATTCTTATGTCCATTGTCACTTGAGCTCTTTTATCATTGTACAAGCAAACACATGATACATCAAAATGCTTTCTTTTTTCAATCACTTTTTTGTTATTTTTTCAATCACTTCTTTGTTATTTTTTCAATCACTTCTTTGTTAAATTCTATTGATTCAATGATAGGATACCTCTTAGCATGTGGGACGTGATGGCAAGGAAGTGTATTGCGCATCTGAAGCCAAATGATTTCATACTTGTATCAGGCCGCCTTGTTTCTTCTAGTAGCTTAGGTGTAGATTACCAGGTTTGTGTTTCTTCTTGACAATAAACATTGTCTCAAACTCTAGACTACTTGTAATTATCCAAGTCCTTGATTGCCACAAGATCTGGTTAGTATATTATGATCAACTTCATGCATCTGTAATGTTAATGTATTTCTTCTGTGTGTGTGTGTGTGTGTGTTTCTTCTTGACCGTAAAACATTTTCTCAAACTAATTGTTAATGTGCCCAAGTCCTTGCTTCTACCATATTCTCCTGATGACTGATGTATAGGATATACTACTTGTGTACTCAAGATCCGATTATATATATGTTATTAGCAACTTCATGTATCTGTAATGTTAATGTATTTCTTTCTTTCTACTGTGTCTAGCTAAGATTTACAAGATTGGTTAATTATTGCAGGTTAAAGTGACAGAGGTGAATTATGTGATGGCTCCTCCAAGTCATGTCTTAGATTCTCAGATACCCCAAAAGCCAAAATCAGAAACAGGTTATTCTATCTTCTACTCATCATCCTCTTTATTGATACTTCGATAGTGAATATGAAACTGAATAAATCAACATTGATGAAAGAAAAAAAACTTATACAAAGCTGAGTCCACATTGAAACAGGTTTATACTTTATATCGTCTTGTTTTGGTACTTGGGTTTATAAAGAAGCTTCACTCGGTAGTTTTGAAAATTGATTTTCCAGAGTTGGTACATTTTTGAATTTTGAGAGTTTCCTGCTGAACATGACCTTCTCTGTGTTTAGTGTCTCTTAAATTAGCGAGAGAAGATGGTATAGAAGAATCAAAGAATGGTAAGATTCACTTGTGGGAAGCTTTCTTTGCGAATCCATATAAATGGTGGGACGACAGGAGAGGGAAGAAGAACCCGAGGCAGCCTGACTTCAAGCATAAAGATACAGGGGAAGCTCTCTGGCTTGACTCAGATACACCGGTTTGGGTTACTATACAACTTGAATTGTTCAACAAGAGAGAAGCAGATGGTACACAAGAATCAGAGAATCGCAAGATTCAATTGTGGCAAGCTTTCTTTGCGAGTCCATATGAATGGCGGGACAAGAGGAGGAACAAGAAGAACACGAGGCAGCCTGACTTCAAGCACAAAGATACAGAAGAAGGTCTCTGGCTCGACTCAGATACACCGGCTTGGGTTACTAGACGACTCGAATTGTTGGACCAGAGAGAAGCAGATGGTGTAGAAGAATCCAACAATGATGAGATTTACTTGTGGCAAGTCTTCTTTACGAATCCAGACGAGTGGTGGGACAACAGGAGAGATAAGAAGAACCCAAAGCAGCCTGACTTCAAGCATAAAGATACAGGTGAAGCTCTCTGGCTTGGGTCAGATACACCGGTCTGGGTTACTAGACAAATTGAATTGCTCGACCAGAGAAACGCAGACGCAAACGCAAACAAACCCAGACATGAGCCTGGTTACAAGAGTTGTCTAGCCGATTGGGTTTAGGAGGAGTTGTGTTATTGGGATATCGTAAAGTGTGATTTAATAGTAAACACTACCAAATTAAAATCCGTATAAGTACACACGCCCTAAAATGAAATAGCATCAAGAAGAATCGAACTTGTAAAAGTATCGATATCAAAATTGCATTTCAAATTTTCGTCTTTTTTTCTCATCATTTTGGAATATGAATTACTTTAGGTTGGCTCGAACTATCTTACAGACCGAGTTATATATATTTGATGGAACCCAAATGTTTGCAGCTTTTCGTTCGGCTCGGTGGTGGATAATTCTCGGGTCAGTGTTTACCCACCACGGTTCGAATAGCATGCACCAAACAAGACAAGAATCTACTTCGACATATGCATGTGTGTGTATATATATATATATATACGAAGTCAATCGAGGTATTATAAAATACCTTTTTGCTTTGTTTTATCTGATACTCTAATACGCTTAGATTCTCATGCTACAAAAAAAGTGTAAAGATTCTCATGCTACAAAAAAAGTGTAAGATATAAAAAAGGTTGAAAAAATTTTAATACGATCATTTTCTGCATTTTCTCTATTATAATATATAGATTAGTGGTTATGCAATATCTCCAGTTACTACTGTTCGAACAGCATGCACTGCAATTTCAAAACAGTTTAACCAATAGATTAATAGGATTTAAATTTCAAACAGCTAAAACAACAAAAATATAATTAATATTTGTATAGAAATGTGAAAATATCATATATTTAAAACAAAAAAAATAATCTTTAAAACATCATCTCATAAAAAACGGAGAAAGTATTTTTTTATGTGTTTTGGTGCTTCTTTTATAATGGTGAGAGAATATCGTATGGAAGAATCCAAGAATACTAACAAGGACGAGATGTTCTTGAGAGATATTTTTAATTACAAAATCTGTTTGATCATCACATTTATGTCTATAATGCTTTTTAATTATATTCATAATGCTACACTCGTACACATATAATCGCTATAAAGAGTTTGTTAAAACCGCATGTCTCAGTTGTACTTGTTTGTATTGCAAAATACATCCATTATAATTAATTGATAAATTCATTAATAAATTCTTTTGATTTTAAAAATGTTGTCAATAAGTCACTAATCTGTCTTATCCTAAAATAGAGTGTAAGATAAATCTGAATGTACAAAAAATTCTTAGTTCAGCAAAGACTTTTACAATTTAAAAATTTAGTAGGATGTAGCATAAAGCTGAGTCCTCAAATCACCAAACTCATAATGACTATCTCATTTTATTTGTAAATATACTCTTTGTAAAAGTAGATTAGTTTTCACTGTAAAGAATCAATGACTTGATTAAATTGTTCCCATAAGTCCGAAAGTTTTTCCAATTTTAAAATTCAATATAATTTATAGACCAACAGATATATATTTGACGGAACCGATACATCTGTAACTTTTCGTTCGGCTCGGTGGTGGGATAATCCGTGGGTGAGTGTTCGAATAGCATGGCACCGAATCCAGAACAAAAGCTTTCTTCCATATATATGTGATTTCAATCGAGGTATTCTTAAATACTTTTTTTCATATATTTTTAAAGCTACAACAAAAAGAAAAGATGTTATTATTAGTTATTAGACTACTTACAATGAAGGTGTTGAAAATATTTTTCAACAGTTGAATATAGTTTAATGAGGTAGTTGAAAGAGCCTGTTGAATGATTGTTGAATGATGTAGCAAAATCGGTGTTGTAAAATTACAACATGTTGAATCTTGAAAATGATGGGTCATGAATGCCACATGTAAGCTTTTGATTAGATATAGATATTTTGCATATTTTTTTATCTCACTCCAATTATGTAGATCAATTATTGAATGACATATTAAATTTTTATTCTATAAATTTTATATCAAAATTTATTATTTTTTATTCTCTATCGATAGAGAATTGTTTCATTTAATTTGGACACATAAAAAAATAGTAAACTATATAGGCGAACTGTGTAGGCGAACTATATAGTTCACTATAAAGGCAAACTATATAGGCAAACTATATGGATGAATTATATATACGAACTATATACGCAAACTATATATGCAAACTATATAAGTGCTATGAAATTGTAGGGTTGGGTGTTCAAAATTTATCATTCTCTATAAATAGAGACTTGTGTCATTTAATTTGGACACAGAAAAAAAACCATTCATTCTACAATATTTTTTTAGTAACTACTAAAAACTCTTGTTAAAGCTTTAGACGTTTTTTTAATGGATCCGAATAATAATCCTTTTAACACTCAAAATTCTTCTAATTACCCTTCCAACTACCCAAATCTCCACAATTACCAAATTCCAAATCATTCTTCCAATTGTAAGGTAAACGATTGAATGAGATGCTTATTTCATGAGAGATTACAGAGCATATATAGGAGATTACAAATGATGTACTAGGTTAGACATAATTACAATATCATTCATAGTATCAATCACAATAGCAATCAAGATATTGTGTATTCCTTATATACTCTACATGCCCCCTCAAGATGGAGGGGCTGGAGTCACTCCAATCTTGCCGTAGAGCTCGTTGAATCGCGCACGACTGAGTGGTTTTGTTAGAGCATCGGCCAGTTGATCCTTCGTTGATACATGTGAAACACGAACTACACCTGATTGAACATTGTTTCTGACAAAATGATAGTTGAGAGCCAAATGTTTCATTCGAGAGTGGAAAACTGGGTTTGCGCTCAAGTACGTTGCCCCCACATTGCCGCAGTATATTACCGGAGCAGAAGGCAATTGGATTCGTAGTTCAGTCAAGAGAGAACATACCCACTGTAACTCTGCAGCAGTGTTAGCCACGGCCCTATACTCGGCCTCTGTTGATGATCGAGAAACTCCTTTCTACTTTTTAGACGACCAGGAGATAGGCGTTGAACCAAGATAGATAATGTATGCATTTGTAGACACATGATCATCTGTGTCCCCTGCGCAATTTGCATCAGAGAATGCGTGCAAAGTCAAAGGCGAATCAGCACGAAGAAAGATACCATGAGAAGGGGTGCCGGCGAGATATCTGAGTACCGCTTCGCGGCTTGCCAATGTTCGTCGGTGGGGGCATGCATATACTGAGACAACTTGTTTACTGCAAAAGCAATATCTGATCGCGTGAAAGCCAAGTACTGGAGACTCCCAATCACCATACGGTATTGACTTGCATCTGGTAAAACAGAGCCTGAGCTAATAGAGAGTTTCAGATGAGGAGCCATTGGAGTGGAGACTGGTTTGGCGTCATGCATTTTGGTTTTGGTCAGTAGATCCATAACATACTTCCGCTGAGTTAAGTGCAATCCAGCTGCTGTGCGATGAGCTTCAATGCCCAGAAAATAGCTCAGATTTCCGAGGTCCTTAATAGAAAACCGAGTAGCCAACGAAGCAATCACCTTAGTCGCTAATTCCTCACGGCTTCCAGTAACAACAATGTCATCCACGTATACCAAGATGTATACAATGTCTGAACCTCGATGATAAGTGAATAACGACGTATCAGAGACTGCATTTTGAAATCCTGCTGCAATCAGTGCCGCCTTTAGCTCTTCGTACCAAGCACGCGGAGCCTGGTTAAGGCTATATAAGGCTTTGTTAAGCTTGCAAACATATCCAGGACGATCTTGATCAACAAATCCTGGCGGCTGTGTCACGTAGACTTCATCGGTAAGAGTCCCCTGGAGGAAAGCATTATTCACGTCGAGTTGACGAATTGGCCAAGAGGACCGAACAGCATGTTCAAGTACCAAGCGGACAGTGGTAGACTTAATAACTGGGCTGAATGTTTCAGAGTAATCGAGGCCGTATTGCTGATTGAACTCGCGAGCCACTAACCTCGCTTTGTATCTGTCGAGTACGCCGTTTGGAAGATACTTAAGTGTAAAAATCCACTTCGTAGGAATGACATTGTGCGCCGGTGATGGAAGGACAAGGTTGAATGTACCATTTCGGCACACCGTATTGAACTCCAATGACATCGCATTCCGCCATTTTTCATCCCGGAGAGCCTGATTTACTGTTGTCAGAATGATTGGTGTTTTTGTGACATGGAGCGATAGTCTATCGATTGGTTTGATTATCTCGTTTTTGGCTCGGGTTCTCATTTCATGGTTATTGACGAGCGGTGGTGGTGGCGGTTTGGGAGTATTCCGTCGGGATTTCGGTGGTTTCTGGATACGGACTTTTGGTTTCGTAAGTTTACGGCGTGGGTTTTGTGTTTGTGGTATCGGATTAGGTGGAGACGAGGATTGTGGGTTTTGGTTTGGGCCATTATTTATTGGTGGTATTGGGCTTGAGTTGGGTGGGGTGGATATTGGGCTTGAGGCGTGGCCCAAATTGTGCTCTCCATTATCTGCAAAATCAGAGTGTAAAGTTGGTGGAATTACCCGTGTATCGTCGATTGCAATTGACGGCAATATCGGCTGAGGTAAGTCAGTCGCCATTGATGGTGGAGACAATTGTTGCAATTGGTGAGGATCCAAGCTTGGGGGTGCGGGGTAGGAAGTCTGTACGAGTGGCGTTGGAATGGTGGTGATTGGTGGTAGAGTATACAGAAGTCCTTCGTCTCTTTCTACCGGTGGTGACAACAAGGAAGAGGCAGCGAAGGGAAACACGTTTTCCACGAATTGCACATGCTGAGAAATGTATATGCGCCCCGTCGTTTTATCAAGGCAGAGATACGCACTATGAGAGAGTGAGTATCCAAGGAAGGTGCAGGGGACAGATCTCTTCGCTAGCTTGTGATCCGCATATGGCCTTAGCCAAGGAAAGCAAAGAGAGCCAAATACACGCAGTTTGAGGTAGTTTGGGGTTGAGAAAATAGTTTCTCATACGGAATGTGGTTATCGATCGTTGTACTCGGAAGGCGGTTGATGAGATAAACTGCGACAGAGAAGGCATATGTCCAGTACGTCGGAGGCATCGAAGCTTGGCCCAAAAGTGTTAGACCTGTTTCAACCACATGACGATGTTTCCGTTCAGCGATACCGTTATGCTCTGGTGTAAGGGGTGGGCTCGTGAGATGCGAAATCCCATGAGCTGAGAGAAACTGGCATAGAGCAATGTATTCGCCACCGTTGTATGAATATAAGGTGCGAATCTTCCTTTGAAATTTATTTTCCACCAAGGCTTTGAATGCAATGAAGGTCTCACGGGTTTGGGATTTGTTTTTAAGAGGGTATAGCCATGTGTAGGGTATGATGATCGATTTTAACTAAGTAGTACTTATAGTTATCAATCGAGTATATTGGTGAGGTCCAGACATCGCTATATAATAACTCAAGGGGCTGAGTTGAGGTAATTGTGTTTGTGGAGAAGGGTAATTTGTGGGTTTTGTTTATGAGGCAATTTGAGCAAGGCATAATTTTATTGATAGAATCTGACATAGGTAAAGAGAACTGGGAAACAATGGTTTTTAAAACTGAAAGAGATGGGTGGCCAATTCGATTATGCCACGATGTGACATCTGTTTTTGGTGTAGGAGAAGCAAAGTTGAAGGATGGGATAGAGATTGGCCACTCGTACAGTTCATTCCTGGTTTGGCCTTGCAGCAATCGGGCCCCCGTGCTGAGATCCTTCACCTGAAAAGAGGTAAGGAAAAATTCCACCGAAACTTTGTTATTGTTACACATACGATAGACTGAAATAAGATTTCTCTTTAAATCAGGTACGCATAATATATCTTGCAAAGTGAGAGCATGAGAGGGGGTTGAGAGTGAGGATGAACCAGTGTGGGAGATGGTGAGCCCCGAGCCATCAGCAATTGTGACCTCTTCACCACCATTGTAAGGATGATGTAAGGCGAGATTGTTGAGATCGGATGTTAAATGATGTGTTGCACCGGTGCCATTATCCAATTCGCAGCATTATAAGGACCAGTCGCCATATGTGCACGTGGTTGCCATGGTGTTTGTTGAGGCAAGGAATATGCATTACCACCCCGGAATTGAGCACACCTTCGAGCACTGTGTCCATTGACACCACAAGTCTGACACTTCCCAAGGTAAGGTCTCGGTGTGTATTGAGACTGTCGAGGAGAAAAATGTTGTTGTGAGTGTTGCCAGTTATTGTTGCGAGGCGGGTTTTTGTGGTAATGCTGATTCTTATTCGGACCTCTGTATGCTGCATTGGCTGTGACAGGGATTGAAGAGGATGCGGACACCATGCTTTGGAGCTTAACTTCCTGGTTGAGAAGCTTCTCATGAAGCTCAGTTAACGACGGTGGGGAGTCACGGGCTTCAACTTGATCGACGATGGGTTTGTAATCATCTGAGAGGCCTTCAAGAATAAACTCTACTTGATCCTCATGATCAATTGCTTTTCCCAGAAGAGCAAGCTGATCAAATTGGGTTGTGAAGCCTTGGTAATACTCGTCAATGGATTTAGCGCCTTTGGTCCATTATTTAAGCTGTTGCTTCAATTGCTTTATGTGTCCTCTGCTAGGCTTCGCATATGTGGACGTGAGAGTGGCCCAGATCTCAGCTGCTGTTGTTGTTTTGGAGAGAAGAGGCTGAAGAGTGTTGCTGATCGCTCAAAGGAGGGCACTATAGATCAGACGATCTTGGCGCTTCCACAGGACATAGGCGTTGTTCGTGGTGACAACATCACCGGTGCTAATGGTGGGTGGTGGAGTGATGGTGGAGCCATCTATATACCCAGAAAGACCGTAGCCATCAAGTAAGGCGTGTACTTGAAGGCTCCACATGAGGAAATTTGAAGCATTCAGCTTGGTGACATTAGTCATATTGACACTTAAAAGTGTGTGAGAGTCAGAAACTGTGACAGTTTCGGTAGAGGTGGCCGGAGATTCTGTGGAAGACATGATCAAAGGTAAGGCGGAGAAAAGAAAGGGGTGGCGGCCTAGAAAGAAAAAATTTAGGTTTTGTGGGATCTTTGCTCTGATACCATGTAAGGTAAACGATTGAATGAGATGCTTATTTCATGAGAGATTACAGAGCATATATAGGAGATTACAAATGATGTACTAGGTTAGACATAATTACAATATCATTCATAGTATCAATCACAATATCAATCAAGATATTGTGTATTCCTTATATACTCTACACCAATCATCCTCAAAATATACTAAATTATGGTTTTGCACCAAATTTCTTCATGCCGTCAGCTGTTCCAAACTACAGTCCATATTATGGATCGGTGATGCCATCTTCCTCTCAAGGAGCGGATCGGTGATGCCATCTTCCTCTCAAGGAGCCCCTAATTCATCTACCCCATCAGCTAATGAAGATGTTTTAAATCTAGAAACAACTGAATTTCCCGAATTTTCTACACAAATGGGTCTTGATGGCATAACTGGTGGCAATGAAGCTACTCCAAACACAGAGTATTCAACTCGTGCTCGCCGGAGAAGCCCTAAATGGACCACTGATCAAAATTTGGTGCTACTTAGTGGATGGATTAAATATGGAACAGACAGCGTTGTTGGCAGAAACCAAAAAAGTGAGTCTTATTGAGGTAAAATTGCTGAGTACTGTAATGAGCATTGCTCATTTGATCCTCCGCGTGATGGAGCTTCTTGCAGAAATCATTACAACTATATGAACAAAATATTGGGCAAATGGGTTGGTGCTTACGACAGTGCTAAGCGTATGCAACAAAGCGGGTGGTCGGAGAATGATGTTTTAGTGAAAGCACATGAGTTATATTCAAGTGGTAAGAATGGACAATTTAATTTAATGTCAGAATGGCTCGCTGTTCGTGATCAACCACGTCATGCTAGTCAAGTTGGAGGGAATACTGGCTCAGGAAGTAGTGGATCTAAGAGAGCCCATGAGAGTGATGCGAGCGACTCTAACTCTGTAGGATCAAGTGCTCGTCCAATGGGAAGAGATGCAGCTAAAAAAAAGGTAAGAAAAAAGGCAAGGCCGCAGCTTTGGAAGTAGTCACCGAAGAGTGGAGTGAATTCAAACAATTAAAGGTGCAAGAGTTGGAACGATTGAAGGAAATAGCCAAGAGCCAAGAGGAGGCAAACCAATTGATGAAAGAAAGGAATCAAGCTAAGAAGATGAAGATGTTTTTAAAGCTAAGTGAAAAGGAAAATCTTGATGACCGGTAGAAAGAACTGTTGGAGAAGTTGAGCCACGATCTATTTGGAAACTAATCTTGGGATTGTTTGTATTTTGTCAATTTTTTCTTTCAATAATTATGTTTTGTCAATTTCTCCTTTAAAAATGTATGTTTTTTTTTTCAATTCCTACTTTAATAATGCTTGTTTGTCATGTTCTTAAAAGCTTTTCAAAAGTTTGTTTGTATTTTTCCCTTTGTCTGTTTCAATAATGTTTCTTTGTCAGCTATCAATGTCTCTTTGTATTTTTCTTATTGTCTACTTCAATAATGCAATCCGTGATCTTATCTATTAACTAGTTCAGTGTAATCTTTGTTTGGAGTCCGTAGATTTCAACCATTCATTTTTTTTAATAAATAGAGACTCATTCTTCGAGTGATAAACTAATAACGCAAATTTCATCTTACTAAAAAAATATCAATGGATCAATCCAAATTTTCTTTTGATATTGAAGCTTACAAAAAACAGTCTGAGATTGAAGAAAGATATATCGTCAACCGCTTTATGCAGCGTAAAAAAGAAATAGAGGAAGAGTGTGCACCCCGTAGCAAGAGAAAATATTTCAAGAGGGATCATGTAGCGGCAAACCAAAGGCTGATTGACGACTACTTCGCAAATCAACCTACATATGACGATTCAATGTTTCATCGGCGATTCCGGATGAGAAAACATGTTTTCCTTTGGATCGTTGGGGATCTTTCAAGCAGTGACAGCTACTTCACCCAACAAGTTGACGCAGCCAATAAAGAAGGCATATCTCCATTAGCAAAGTGTACCACGGCCATGCGAATGTTAGCATATGGTGTGGCGGCTGACGCGATTGATGAATACATCAAAATATGAGGTACTACGGCATTAGAGTGCTTGCGTAGATTTTGTAAAGGAATCATATGATTGTATGAGCAAGTGTATCTCAGAGCTCCAACACAAGATGACCTGCAAAGAATTCTGCACGTTAGTGAGATGCGGGGGTTCCCGCGGATGATAGGAAGTATTGATTGCATGCACTGGGAATGGAAAAATTGTCCTACAGCATGGGAAGGTCAATTTACTCGGGGAGATAAAGAAACTACCACAGTTATTCTTGAAGTTGTTGCATCCCATGATCTTTGGATCTGGCATGCTTTTTTTGGATGCCCGGGCACATTGAATGATATAAATGTTCTAGACCGCTCCCCAATGTTCGATGATATTAAACAAGGAAATACGCCAATAGTGAACTTCTTCGTCAACCAACGTCCGTATAATATGGCATACTATCTAGCTGACGGTATATATCCTTCTTACCCAACTTTTCTCAAATCAATTAGACTTCCTCAAAGTGAACCAGATAAGTTATTTACAAAATATCAAGAGGGATGTCGGAAGGACATCGAACGTGCATTTGGAGTGTTGCATGCTCGATTTAAAATCATTCGCGAACCAGCTCGCATGTGGGATATAGCCAATTTGGCTATCATCATGAGGTCATGTATCATATTGCATAATATGATTATTGAGGATGAACGCGATACATATGTTTAACATTGGAACGATTATGATCAAACTGAGGCTAGTGGGTCTAGTACACCGCAACCATTTTCAACTGAAGTACTACTTGTATTTGCAAATCATGTGCGTGCTAGATCCGAGTTGCGTGATTCTAATATGCATCATGAATTGCAAGCTGATCTAGTGAAACATATATGGGCAAAATTCGGAATGTATCATGGCTAAAGAAGTTTTTTTTTAATTTTTTATGTGTGATTTAAATAGTTTATTGTAATATTTAAGTTTTACGTTTTATTGGTTATGTGAGCATTTTTATTCTCTATAAATAAAGATTAGTCTCATTTCATTTAAATTATTTTAAAATTTGATTTAAATCATAAATTTAAAACAATATAATTTACACTTTTACTAATTATTTTTTTTATTATAAATTAAATATAAAAAGTGCAATTGATTAAATTAAAAAAAGAAAAAATAGATTACATCATATTAGGTGAACTATATAAACAAAATATATAGATAAACTATATAGACAAAATATTTAAATGAACTATATAGACAAAGTATATAAATAAACTATATAGGTGATATGAAATTGTAGGGTAAAATGTTGAAACAAACCATTGTAGAGTATCAAATGTAAGTTGGTGTTGAATTATGAAGTGGAAGAGAGATATGATGATGTGGAATGTAAAATTAAGGTGTTGATAATGTAAACCATTGTAGATAGTCTTAGTTATTACACACATCAAAGTTAACAAAATGTTTGGCAGAAAAGACTCGGTCCTCAAATCACATCTCACAATCACTCTCATTTTATTGAATACTCCCTGATTAAACCAAAAGCTTTCCACACTAGTTCTAATGCAACGGATCAACGACTTGACCAATGAACAGAACCACTCCTGTTATGTTCTCTGTGACCACCAACAGAAACGGATGGTCCGCAACAAAATCTATGATCTCTTCCTCCATAGCCAAACCTCTTAGCTTTATAACTCCAGCTGATGCAGCTGCAGCTTCTGTCCCTTCTTCATTCACTTCAATACAAGCTTTGTGGAAAATGCTCGATACGGTTAAATTCTTCCCCATCTCTGGAGATTCAACCATCTCAGTTAAACCGTCTTCGCCGGAGAACGGCGACGTCAGACCCAAACCTTTCAAAACATTCGAAGCTTCGAACCCAAAAGAGAATTTAAACTTCGGAATCTTGAATTCGCCGACTTTAACTTGTCTCCGCGGAATGTGGTTATCCAAGAACCCAGGAGTAGAAACTATCTTCTCAAGAAGATCAGACAATCCGTTGTTTACTTCGGGAAGGTACAGGTACATTGAGAACTGTCGTTTATCCTGTCCTTGTAAGTAAGGAAGTCCCAATACTTTGAAACCATCGTAAGCGCTCACGTACTGTTTCTTCTTGCTGGTCATGAACGGTGCAGTCACTTGCGTACCGTCGAGAAGGTGAAAGTCGCCGTCTTTCGTTAGAGACTCATCGAATTTCTCGTTCCATGTTCCTTTGAAGTACAATGCGTTTGCGAATATCAGTTTGGTCATACTATCTGCTGATCCTTCTGGTAGAACCTCAGTGATGAGACCATTTGTTTCCTTTTCAGCCCATGAATTCACCTCAGCAATCACTTCCACAGCCTTTCAAACAAATTCATCAGCAAAAAAAAGATCATCAGTAAAATCAATCACCAAGTAAACCAAAAATGTAGATGCATAACAAGGATCCCAAGAGAAACAATGACACTAAACATATCCTCAGGGTAAAATCAAGAATAAAACTAATTCACATTTAGAAACAGCAGCTTAAAGTTAAACAGTAAATTCAATCACAAGCAAACCAAATTTCAATTTCACACAAACCAAATATGCATTCAGAACTTAAACAACGATCCAAAGAGAAACAATCTCGCATATACAGATCGTCAACTCAAGGTCAAATTAAGAACACAACCAATCCACGTTTTGGCCTTTCATTTTTTTACAGTCCACACAAATCTTAAAACAGTCCACAGAATCAGATCGTATTAATCAATTGGTGATAAAAAGTTAAAATTAGGTTCAATCAAACAGTAGACTCAATCATAAGCAAACCCAATTTCACACAAACCAAAGATGCATAATCACCAAGTGGTGAGTGAAACAGAAGCTGAAACCAACGATCCTCAAGGTCAAATTAAGAACTTGATCGTTTCTACAGTCCACGAAAATCGTAACACTGTCCACGGAATCAGAACGTTGTAATCAATTGGCGATAAGAGTCAAAATTAGGTTTAACAAAATCCCAATACACAGAAAATTGAATACTACATAGAGCGAAGTTTTTGATGAATCGAGGAATCGAAAATCACCTTCGTCTGAAAATCTGCTTGATTAGAAGCAGCTTTGTATGAATCATCCAAGAGCTTCTTAAAGGAAGGCTTGAAGGAGAGAGACTTATCGATCCAGACGCCGTTAGCCGCCGAGAGTTTAGGGCCACCGTTAGCGCTACCGTCGGAGAGAACGGCGGAGACGATATCGGAGGAGAATGTGTTGAGCTGATCGACGGAAGAGAAGTTGAGGAAAGATAGGATCTGATCCTTGGTTCCGCCGGTGGATCCAGCGGCGATTATACTGAGGATGACGTTGATCGACGCCGGAGAGAAGATGACGTTGGAGTTTTTAGAGACGGTGGTGATAACGTGCTTGGCGAGGCTCATGGAGACTTGGTTTTGCATCGAGATTGATTCTCGCACGTCCATTTTCGCCGGAGGAGGTGACTGGTCCATCAACTTACTGGGCAAGAGACGATTGAGATATTTATTTAGAGATAGAAGTTGAATTATTATTATATAATAGTAGAAATGATTATGACATGTCGGCAAAAATGAAGAAAACAGGAGAAGAGAATACGCGCACCGCACGTGTCGAAGCGCCAAGCGAAGAAGCTGACACATTAATGGCAAAAGGAAAATTGAACAGTTTGACAATTATAGTATTTATTTATTTTTGAACATTGACAATGTCAATTTGGAATTGATAGTGGAAGGTTGTGATGAAGAGCCATTTTATTACGAACAAAGTTTAGTGTGAATCTGTGCTTTGCTTATCAACGACTTGTTGTTGTTACCTCTCGGAGCAAGCAATGATTAACCAACTTTATTCATATTATAACTAAAAATAATAATTTTGGGAATAGTCTTTTCTAAAGGCTTTTTATAAGGCTCATTGAGGAATCTGAAACAATAAAGAATGATAAAAAAAATTGTATGATTGTTGATACTTGATAAACGCTAATTACTGCTATCATCCATAAAAATAGTATTTGCGAGTGTTAAGTTGCTCATAACCCAAAGCTTTACAATTTTAAATATTGTTCAAAAAGATCATCAGGAACACAAAGCTGCTTCTTATAAAACGCCATTAGCTTTATTACAATCGGTCGACTTCTTATAAGTTTGGTTGTAACCTAAGGCTTTACAAAATCATGAAACTAAAATTTTAATAATGTTATGATGAACATAAATAATCTAAATTTGAAGATATTATTATTGTCCAATACAGTTTTCCATCATACAAAATAATTTAAAGATTAAGAATAACGCCAACACATTCACCTAGAATCTATCAGTATTGATGTCCGTTCCAAAACAAACTCCCTGTAAAATGAATTGCCTACTAAATTATTTTTCAATATTGCGGAAAAGTTATAGGACAATCAACACATAATCGAAATGAACTTGAACAACAAAACAATTATGTTGGCTTCACAAACTTTATTTCAACGATCTATACCTTCTTCATTCCGCTCGCTAGACGTATGATATTGCTCCATATTTAATTAAGTAACTTCTGTTTTAAAAAAAAAATGTAATCTTCGTTAGTCTTACTTACACTTTGGGGAAAATAACTAATAAATTTCAAGATGTAATAAAAGAATAGTACTAACATGAAATAAAAGTTGCAGAGAGAAGAGCAGATGTATGTATTTGAGCATCCATGCATCTTCAAGATGATAGGTGGCATGCAACGAGACTTGCAGTACCAGCAAAACGGGCGACATATACTATTATTGAGCACTACTTCAAATGGTCTGTCACAAATCTCTACTGTGCTTCCTGGCATAAGACCTTTAAAATCTCCAAGCACACAATTCGTATGCAAACAAGCCCTTTGGTCTTTACATGTGTAGAACCATTTCCTTGGATCGATTTCTTTCTCACAAACATCACACCAGTGTTTACCATTAGCCTTTTCACCAAAACATAGTGAGAGAGGATGATCATCAACTCTATGCTTTATCACTTGTGGTAAAGTAGCACACTTGAAGTCCAAGACAAATCCACAACCGTCTTCGATACATATAAGCACAGGAGATTTCGCCGTGTAGCAACCATGGCAGAGTAGTTCAACATCTTTTGACATGAAATATAAAGTATGTTGAGGGTGGCTTGGATGGTTAAATGGCTCAGAAACTGAACCGCATCGTACATCTAATTCCTCTTCCCCAACTTGGTACCTGAAACCATTTGAGTCCCCACGACAAGCAACACACGAAAAACGACCGAGCTTACTTGTGTCCAAAGTAAAACGATCATTGTGTAGCACATGCCATTTCTTTATAGGCAACTCAGCGCAGTTCTTATGAAGAATGAAATCACAAACCATACAATAGTAGAAAGATTGATCAAGCAGTATAGGATGGACGCATGCGATGCACCGCTTGCTCTCCTCACAGAGAATACCCTCAGTGTTGAGCCTTAGGTTATGTTCTTTATGGCTGAAATGTTGTATCGTGTTGTCATCGATTATCACGTATGGCTCTATATCCTCTGTTTCTTCAGGTATTCCTTGGAGTTCTTTCCCGTTCCAGACATCCTTTCTTGTAGCACATTTCGAATGAACGACATAACCGGGACACTTGTGACAAGAATAACCCCCACAAGTCCAATCGACCTTCCCGCGACAAACTCCACAAACGGAACCCACAACACCAAGAAGAGAAGTTCGAAAAACACGATGATCATGACGATTGATGTTTATGAGACGTGGAAGGCGAAAACAGTCTTTATGGATCATGAAGACACATGGGACGCAGACATAAGGGCTTCGATCTCCGTTCAGCCCGCAAACATTACATGTGAAAGAAACGAGTCTTGGGAGAAGGGTGAGCTGGTGATGATGCGTCTTTAAATCCACAAGAGCTTGTGCTGGTGGATTCAAGACACAACGCATGTCCAAGGTAAAGTTACACGAAGAGCAATGATAAAACAGTTTATCATCTTCGACTTTTCTTCCACAAAGACGACATTTTCCATCAGAATAGTCTTGCGGTTCGCCTTTGAAGAGTTTAAGAGGATGTAATGAGTGGAAAGAGTGGTTTATCTCTGACTGATGTTTTGCTTCTCCCGTGTGCCACACGCAATCCACATGGAAGGTTAAATCACACTCATGGCATTTATAAGGGAATCCATTTGCAATCTCCCCACAGTTAGCACCACACTCGAACATTATCATAAATAAATAGTTCCCTAACAAATTACAATACTTCTCCTCCTTGAGAAGGGTTAGCTTGTGGCAATGTGTGTCGGGAATGTAAATATCATCTGGTGGTGGATACCTAACGCAACGTAGATCCATGAAAAACTCACAGATATCACAAGTATAGCCTAGATTCACGATATCTCTCCCACATAAACCACATGGCTTATATGGAGCACTCTGAAGACGAAGAGTGTGAATGGAGTGAGATGGGTTTTGGATATATTCAGAGGAGTCACCACATTCCTTGTGGACGAAGAAATCGCAGGTTTTGCAGTAGTAGCCATCGCTTATAGCTTCCAAGCGTCCACAACAATCACCTTTCCGCAGATCATTCCAAGGAATCATGACATGCTCGTGGATATGCGGTGCTAACACTGTTTCCATGGTACGAGACTGGGAAGAATAGTAAAAAGAGAGAATAGTTTGATGTGTGTACCTTCACAATATAGTAATGATTTGGCAGAACAAAAGCGTTTCAAGAATCGCGATTCCAAGAATAATGAGATTGGAAACGAGTGGAGGCGAGCGATTCTTAGTTGGGAGGCTTGGTCTTCTTCTCTCTCGTACTTTGAGTGCGACCTTTTTAGATAATCTCAAGCATATGTAAGAATCTCTCTTTATCACAAGATTACCTTGTTATTTTCAAATTCCAAGTATTGAAAGAGACAGAGAATTGTTTATCTCAAGTAAATAATTTGTTTTCATGGAACGGAGAGCATAAGTTTGAGGGTTTCGAGATATTCACATTATAAAATTGTCTCGGACAGGTGGTAATGACACTATTATCAAAGTTATCAACCACTGGACATAAACTAATATCCAAATCCGAGAACACACAAGTAATGCTTTGGAACATCAAAAAGGTTTGGATTCAGACTTTCTGATATTCAATTAATCAAACCAATCGGTCTATAGACAATTTTCGGTTCGGTTTCAAGTTACCATTTCGGTTTAGGGCTGCGTCAATAGACATGCTCAAAATAAAGGCCTGAAAATATCGGGAGAGGATTTCCGTTCCCTCCCTTCCCTTCATGAATTTCTTGTCTCATTCATTTTCCTTTTTAAATAATTTCCCATTCAACTATTTATTTTATTTAAATGAATAAAGGAAGAAAACGAAAAGGAAAATAGTACTATATCAGGTACCTAAATTCCTGTTTTTAAAAAAAGTTTTAAAATTAACTATGTTTTGAATTTTCCTAAATTTTTTTTTATTTTTTTCAATTTTTCTCGAAATTTCTGTAAAATTTTTCAAATTTTTCTCGAAACTACCCAAAATATATATTTCAAAATTAAACATTTACCTAAATTACTAAGAATTTGAGAAAAAAATTAATTTTTCGAATCCGTTAAGAAATTTTCCACACCCATCAGAGTATTCGAATTTTCCATCCTAGATTCCCTTTTGAGAATTATTTTTCAATTCTCAAATTTTGCATTCTTGTTCCTTACCCATAAACTTTCATCCTGAATTCCAAAATGTTCAGGCGCTATTCAAAATGCAAAACTTGTTTTTCCAGTTACTCCCAACAACTCCTTTTTACCAATTTTCGTGATAAATATTAAAGATTATGGTTATTCATCTATTGTGACATGTGTCTTTAACACCCATCTTCTTTGTTCATTAGTTATCACCTTATGTGATTAATCATCACTTAGGTGTCATGTGTAGAATGTCATTTGCTTCCTATAAATAGCATGTACTTAGCATTGTACAAAACACAAGTAAATGAAAATAAGATCGCTTACAAAAGCTTTGCTACTTCCTCTTTCCAAGTTAATTTATTTAAAAGTTCTTTACTTTCCTTAACAAATTTTTGCTAAAAGTATATTTCCACAACACTTTATCAGCACGACCGTCTCTATACCATCATTCTGCCTAATCTGATCTCCGTCTAAATTAAAAGGAAAAGAAGGTAATATTTATTTTAAATTAAATTTATGTTAGATTTATACTAAAGTATATGGAGTGGTAGGTTACGCCTCTTCCTTATTCGAGTGGTAGGCTTTGCTTCCTTGAGAGCACATAAATATTATTGTTTCCTCAATCACGAGATAATTGTTTTATTATATCTTTATATTTTATTATCATTAATAATTTTAAAATGATATTTATAATGTTTTAAAATAAATTAACGTTTGAATTTTATTATTTGTATAGTTGCATCATGTCAAACTTGGCGAAACTCGATATTGTTGCCCTCAGTATAAGTGGAAACAATTATATGACATGGGCATCACATGCAAAAATGCATGTGAAATCGAATGGGCTTCTCAATACCATCGATCAGTCGGAAACGACATCAGATGAGAATAAAGCAAATGCTATGGTGTTTTTACTCCACAATCTCCATGATAGCTTGAAAAATGAATGCATCGCAAAAAAAAGATCCCGCTGATCTTTGGCAGTTACTCAAAGATAGGTTTGATCACCAAAAATATGTGATCTTACCAAAGACTAAACATGAATGGCTGAACAACCGGTTCTTAGATTATAAAAGTGTTGGTGAATATAATTCTGCTATGTTTGGAATAACTTCCAGGATAACATTATGTAGAGAAAAAGTGAGCGATTATGATATGATTGAAAAAACGCTCTCCACATTTCATCCTGGAAATGTAATTTTGCAGGAACATTACCGGGCTAAAGGATACACAAGCTATTCAGAGTTGATGCAAGTCCTCTTTGTAGCAGAACAAAATAATGAACTTGTGATGTTAAACCATCAAACTCGTCCAGCTGGGTCAGCTCCATTCCCTAAAGCGAATGTCGTAGCATCCAGTAATAATGATAATTATCAAAGGCAAGGACATGGACGCGGTAGAAACTGTGGTCGAGGTCGTGGACGAGGTCATGGACATGGACAAGGAAGGGGTTCAACGCAGGAAGAAACATGAATTTCAAAATAAATAAAGGTGGTCGTATAATAAAAAAGTCAAATGACAATGTTTGTTATAGATGCGGCATGAAAGGACATTGGGAACGTATATGTCGCACACCAAAACATTTTGTCGATCTATATTAAGAATCACAAAAGACTAAGGCAAGGAAAGTTGAAACCAACTTCGTCAATGATGAAGCTGGATTTTCCTTTAGTGGCCTAAATGATGACACACATCTCGATGTTGCGGATTTTCTTGATTTTGGAAATGTTATCGAGAAACAAAATGACTAAAGATCGATGAAGTTTTCTAAGAAGCCAAGATAAAAATCAACTTAATATTTTCTTTGTATAATATAGTTTGTGTAATAAAATTAAACTTAATAGTTTATTGTTTTATAGTACTTCGTGTAATATGCTTTGTTAGATTTAGAATAAAATTGTAAAATCAAGTTTTTGTAATATAAAGTAACTTTTTTAAATTTGTATTACTTTATTATGCATCTTTATAATATCGTGATACAGAAAATATCACTAATCGGGATCCATGATGAAGATATATGTCTAGTAGATAGTGCCACAACGCACATAATACTTAAGAATAAACAATATTTTTTCTGTCTCAAAATTAAGGACTCTGCCGGGAGCGTGAGTACCATATCTGGCAATGCAAAGATCTTAGTAGGCTATGGAAGAGCTACTTTTTCAATGCTAAATGGGACAAAGTTTGAAATAAATGATGCATTATATTCTCCCAAATCCCACAGAAACTTGTTAAGTTTCCGAGATATTCGTAGAAATAAATATCACATAGAAACAAGAGATAATGATGGTACTGAATATCTTTGCATTACATCAGACAGAAAACATATATTGGAAAAATTGCCAATGTTATCTTCTGGATTATACTGCACAAAAATAAATGTGACTGAATCATATGTTACATTGAAAAATAAGTTTTCTGATACATTCAAAGTCTGGAATGAAAGGCTAGGACATCCTGGAACAGTCAGGATGAGAAGAATTGTGCAGAATTCTAGTGGTCACCCATTAAAAAACGAGAATTTTTTTCAAACGGGGTAGTTTTCATGTGATGCATGTTCTAAAGGAAAAATTATAATTCGGCTATCACCAGCTAAAATAGGGAATGAATGTCCAATATTCTTAGAAATAATACATGACGATATATGTGGACCTATACATCCACCTTGCGGGCCATTTCGATATTTCACGGTTTTAATAGACGCATCAAGTAGATGGTCACATGTGTGTCTCCTGACTACAAGAAATATGGCTTTCGCTAAATTCATTACCCAAATAATCAGGTTAAAAGCACAATTCCCTGATTATGTCATAAAGAAAGTAAGACTCGATAATGCTGGTGAATTCACTTCTCATGCTTTCAATGATTATTGTATGTCAATAGGTATCGATGCTGAACATCCAGTGCCCCATGTGCATACACAAAATGGAATGGCTGGAAGTTTGATTAAACGACTACAATTAATTGCAAGACCACTTATTTTAAGAACGAAACTCCCAATTTTCGTATGGGGGCATGCTATACTACATGCGGCTACTTTGGTCCAGATTAGACCAAGTGCATATAATAAATATTCTCCATTACAATTAGCATCTGGCCAAGAACCAAATATATTCTATCTCTGTATTTTTGGATGTGCGGTTTATGTTCCTATATCCCCTCCGCAAAGAACAAAAATGGGGCCACAAAGGAGATTGCGGATATATGTCGGATATACATCACCAAGTCTAATAAGGTATCTTGAGCCACAAACTGGTGATATGTTTACGACACGGTTTGCCGACTGCCATTTTAATGAAGATGAATTTCCAGCATAAGGGGGAGGAATAAAGCAAGTGTCACAAGATGTTACATGGTTTCACCATCTTTGGTACATCTTGATCCTCCAATGAATCAACGCGAATTAGAAGTTCAGAAAATTATACATTTACCAAATGAATTACCAGATGCGTTTACAGATACAAAAAAGGTGACACAATCATATATACCCGCTGCAAATGTTCCATCACGGATTGAAATTCCAAAAGAATAAATTGATGGAAACAAAACAAATGAACCCAAGGTTCAATTGAAAAGAGGGAGACCAATGGGCTCAAAAGATAAAAATCCTCGAAAGAAAAAGAAGTTGGAAGAAAGAAATGAAATAGTTCAAGAATCACGACATGAAAAATGTTTAGAAGACATTCGTGAAGAAGTTCAAAAAGAGTGATGAAGAAAAAGGTTCAAAAGATGAATAATATACAGAAAAGTGTGGGATTTCCATAAATTATGCCCAAGATGGAAAAATTTGGGTTAAAAATAAAATAGAAGATAATGATGGTATATTCTCCTTTTCTATATCCAAAGAAGTTGATAATGAAAATGATGATCTAGACGTAACGTCCGTATCAGAGTGTCAGAAAAGGCCCGACTGGGAGAAATGGAAAGTGGTTATAAGAGATAAATTATTCTCACTTAATAAAAGAAATGTGTTTGGAGAAGTTGTCATTACACCTGAAGGTGTAATACCAGTTGGATGCAGATGAGTTTTTGTGCGAAAAAAGAAATGAAAAGAATGAGGTAACAAGATATAAAGCTCAACTTGTTGCACAAGATTTTTCTCAAAGACCAGGAATTGATTATGATGAAACATATTCCCCGGTTATGGATGCAAT